ACCAGTTCCTTCCACCATGGAGCAAGAGCTCCTATCGTTGCTTGCGGATACGCAATCCCCGGTCGCTGATACGAGGAAATCTGCTGAGCTTCAGCTGATTCGTCTCTATTCGAACGAGAACCTTCCTCTTTCCCTCGCTGCTATCGCTTCTCACGATTCCGTTCCTATCAACCTCCGCCAGTCGGCCCTGTCAGTACTGCGCACCTTCATTGCTGCCGCCTGGTCCCCGAATCTAGATGAGTTCAAGGGTCAGATATTGATCAATGACGTGAATAAGTCTCAGATTCGCAGAGTCTTGCTGGACCTGGCTACTGTCACAGAAACACCAGAGCGCAAGGTTAAATCATCTGCAAGCTTTGCAGTCAGCAAGATTGCCAGCGCCGATTTCCCCGAGCAATGGCCAGAGCTCCTTCCTGCAATCCTTCAGATCATCAACGATGCCAATAGCACAGCTAGTGCTCTGCATGGTGCATTGAAGGTCCTCCTGGACCTGGTAGACACAGGGTTCAACGAAGAGCAATTCTTCAATGTTGCCAGGGATCTTCTTACCTCATTGTTCAACGTCGCAACCAATGAGTCAAGAAAACCTATGCTGCGAGCCTTAGCTGTTGCAGTATTCCGTTCGTGCTTTGATACGTTGGAGATGGTACTCGAGCAACACAAAACTGCGGTCAAACAATTTATGGATGAGGTGCTTGGCGGCTGGTTTCCTTTCTTCATCTCGACTCTGGAGGCACCCTTACCGCAGGCGCCTGCTGAAGAAGAAGAAAGCAAGGAGGGTGAGATACCTTCGAAATGGAGAGGTATTATTGGACTCAAGTTACAAGTAGTCAAGGTATAAACCCCTGACACATGGAGGTTCTAAAGCCCTTATGCTGACCATACATCATTCTGTTAGACTTTGATGAAGATCCGCATGGTCTTTCCGGCTCTTATGACGGGCCAGAGCCCCGTTTTCTTCTCTACCATATGGACAGAGCTGTCCAATATCCAGGCTGCATACCACGAATTCTATATCAATGACGAGAGACAAGGCCGTCTGGAAGATGTGGATGGACTTCCCTATACTTTGGACTTTTTGGTCCTGGAGGAGTTGGATTTGATCCAGACATTAATCAAAGCACCTCCCGTAAAAGCAGAACTGCAGCAGCAATTACAGAACGCGGGACAGGCTGCGACAAGCTCCAGTTGGCTGCCCGAAATTCTGAAGCTAGCCAGCTCGTACGCGCAGATCACCACAGAGGAGGAGGGCTTGTGGGACATTGATGTAAACCTTTTCCTTTCAGAGGAGACATCTGTCACAGCCAACTATACCCCTCGCACATGTAGCGGTGACCTGGTGATCAAACTTGGTGAATGGCTGAAGGCTCTTACGGCCGAGGGCTTACTTGTCTACCTGAATAATGTGTTTGCTGATTCTTCTTCAACGTAAGTATTCCTTGAGCGTGCGAAATGGCAGTTGAAAGTGGACCTAACCCGTGATTCGGACGATAGTTGGAAATCCCGCGAATCGGCATTCTTTATTCTGAATCAACTTCTACGAGATTTCCACGAAGTGTCCCAGCCGATTTCCCCTGAATTGGCCACTGGTCTCAGTAACCTTATCCAGTTTTCCATCCAACAGGAGCATGAGTTTCTTCGAGCCCGTGGTTACCTTGTGGCAGGAATCTTAGCCCAGGTTGCAGGTGAGGCCTTTAGTGCGACAGCCGCTTCCTACCTCGAGGCCACCCTGAAGGCAATCTCGGAAGACCCTTCGGAAGTTGTTAAGGTGTCATGTATCCGAGCCCTGCAGGATCTCATGCCTTCCCTCCCTGCTAGCATGACGACTCCCTTGCAGATCTCAGTTATTTCAGCTATATCCGATTTCGTGTCCGAGCACGACCTCAGTGAGCCTTCCGACAGTGATGACCTTAAAGTTACACTCGCGGAGACACTCCGTGATACAATCATGGTCAATCCCAGTGTGGTCCTCTCATCCATTGCCATCGATGTGCTTTTTAACATTGCCAGCAATGGTGCTACCAATTTCCAGTTAACAATGATTGTAACTGAGGCTTTCGAGGATATCGCAGAATCTGTTGCAGACCAAGGCCATGATTCCTTTGTCCGTCTTTGCGAAAAAGTGCTACCTTCATTGACAGGGGCCATTGATGTGGGAAATCTTACACAAGAGAATGCACTGACAAATTTCGCTGCGGATCTTCTGCGAGCGCTCGCGGAAAGAGCCCTCGAACCTCTCCCAGCTGGGTTTGTGGAGGCTGTCATGCCTAAGCTGAACCGTCTGTTGTTGGATTCGACCGACGCGGAGCTTATTCGCCCGGCAACAGAAGCGGTTAGGCATATTCTTTCGCATGACTTTAATCAATTCATCGCGTGGCGTGATCCACAAAGCGGGAAAGAGGCAACTGAGGTTGTCTTGGTGATCATTGATCGGTTGCTGGGTCCTGCTGTTGACGACAATGCTGCTACCGAGGTTGGACAATTAGCAGCCGAATTAGTGGAGAAAGCAGGATCAGAAAGACTTGGGCCTTATCTACCACAACTTCTGCGGGCGGTCGCTCAGCGACTTGCCACTGCCGAGCAAGCCCAGTTCATCCAAAGCTTGATTCTCGTCTTCGCTCGGCTGACTCTGATCAGCGCGCGCGAAGTCGTGGATTTCTTGGCGCAGGTGGACATTGGAGGCCAAAGTGGACTCCCCATCGTGATAAGCAAATGGCTTGAGAACTCGGTCAATTTTGCGGGGTATGACGAAATCAAGCAGAACATTATCGCCTTGGCGACACTTTACAACCTCGAAGATCCCCGGTTAGCACAAGTGCAGGTTAAAGGCGACCTTATCATCCAGGACACCGGCCGCATTAAGACACGCTCACAGACCCGCAACAACCCAGATCAATACACGACTGTGGCCGCGCCATTGAAAATCGTCAAAGTCTTAGTTGAGGAGTTGGCTGCAGCGTCTGGAAGCAAAGAGATCGATGCGGCCACGGCTGCAGCCCTAGAGGAAGAAGGCAGTGACGACGACGATTGGGAAGATCTTCCTAGTAACACTCTCGACCTCAGCCTTGGAGTTACTAAACAGGAGCTGATGGCGTTCGGAGAGGGTGGCACGGAGGGTGTGTTCGGTGTGCGCAAGCGTGATGACGAGACCCAAGCTTTCTTGTTAGACTTTTTCAGAAATGCATCCGCTAAGCCAGAGTTTCAACAGCTCTTTGCGGCCTTGACGCCGACCGAGCAGGACAAGCTTCGGAGCTTAGGATGAGAATTGGACCACTTGTACAATACAAGGCCTTTGTGATGGTTCACCATTTCTCTCCAGCGTCGGTTTCTTTTTCTGATCTGTTTTCACGTGGCCTTTACTTCCCCTACCTGTACGTAGCCATGTCCAAATTATGTAGATGATGACGAATACGATCGTGGTGAGGCAGGATAGGGTTTATGGCTACGATTGTGCGGGCCCGGAGCGCTCGAATGGGTGACTTGGTCATTTGAATGCATATTAGAAATTTCGAGTGAAATACTGTCCTACGGAACATGTGTATTGCATGAGAAATTCGGCCCCTACCAGCGCAGCGCAAAGGCCCATGATCTGCAACCGACATAACTATTGTGGTTAGGCAAAAGGCCGTTTGGAAGACAATGAGATGAAAACTCGAGTGACATTGTGGTTGCTCAACAGTTATCGACTTACTAGTACATGTATCTGTGATGGCTGGTCTTGGCGCAGATGAACGATATGAGTTTTTGAGGGGTATTCCAAATTTTCCACGCTAAGTATCGATGATGCGACGTCTTGGTGCATAACAGGTTGGTGTAGTATGTTAGTAGTACGGGGTGTAGTGCTCCCAGTTCATCTTGAGCACTAGGATAGTATGATCTGGTACCAATCGGAAACATCTCCTAGATCCGTAATTGTCGGACTAGATATGCATGGTCTCCAATCCAACCCCTGTTGAGCCACACGAAGAACGAATAACCGTTCGATTTATTTTCCCAAGGAGTGCACCAAGCTGACTTGTCATATCATTTCTGGAACCATACAAACCTACCTCTAGCTTGCTTTGGTATTTAGTGCGACTGTGGTCAGTACTACCTACCACCTAAGTGAACCGTGTACGACAGTTACAGTCAAGCTGTACAAGATGTATGTTAGATCATTTAAGATGGAGTTAGTACACACCAACCCCGTCAGTTGATCAAAACTATTTAGTTCAATTTCTGACAGGGCCTAGGCACAAATTAGGTAGTATGTTCCCAGTTCCGGTCGGGTCGGGCGATGAACATATGGAGTACTCCGTATGGAGGGTCGTGATACCTTCTGCACGTACAGTAGTGCTACCTCATCCGCCCGACAAAGTGGCTGATCGGCCGAATCTGCAGCTTTGATTGGCCTTTCAAGCGGATCCGGCTAATGCGGGGTTTCTAAGCTGTCGTATTCTCAAACCCGCCTCAGTATTCAACTTGTATTTGTCGAGGAAGAGCTCTGATGCACAAACATGTACGATGAGTTGTAGGACGGAAGACAGACAGACACCTACCATGGTTGGAGGCGTATGATCATCAGAGTAAAATTCCAGACCAGACAAACTCTGGTTTAGACCGGAGCGGCTAAGTGATTCCAGGCGCATCGAGGGCGTTAACAATGTTGCACAAAGGGTTCGGCAGCATTGGCAGAGGACGAATCAGTTCCCGGCGGACAATACCAAGCAATACCCAGAACCAGTGCCCTGGTGCCCTGGTGCACACCGCCACCGTCAACAGACCCGACATCCTCTCTCTTGGGTCCGTAAGTTGCAATTTAGCCTTGTCTAGTAAATACCTCTCTATATATTCACGGTTTACCCCTCTATATCGGAAGCGTCTCTTTTCTTCTTGGCTTCGGTTTTTTCTTTTCTTTCTCTCTTCTTCCTCTGTATATACATTTATCGCATTTCTAATTTGTTCCTCCCTTTTCGTGTTTCCCGCGCATACCTCTACCAGACTCTACATTCCACGCAACTATGGTGCATCCTAATCTTGATGAGCTTATCGTAGTCGATGTGAGAAATTTCCCCTCCCCATTTCTGCAGCCTGAATTCCCTTTACCTTCCGTTTCCCTGAATTCGAAGAATACAACGTAACCATCTTCCGCATGTCATAAGGACCCCACTCCTAACTTTGGCTTTTTTTCTCTCTCTCTGTCACGTATTTGACATTGAATGACTTGGAGCAATTGGCCTTAATCCTGCACCGGGAAATTTGCTTACACGCAAGATGTGGCCAATTCTCATGCAAAAACTGGTGTTAATTTATTTTTTGTTCAATTTTTGCATCAAGTGTTTTGTCCGCTTAGAGTGATCTGGTCTCGGAATCCGGAACGCTCTGAACAATTCTACCCCTCATGCCGGACCGGCGCCTCGTGCTTTCGAGTTCTCTATTAAATCTCAGGAACAACCATTGACCCCATCATAAGACTAGTGACGAAGACTCGCTCTGTGACGCCCAATCCATAATCGATTCCAACCTAAGTCTTCACTCGACAGTCCGAGATTACCAATACGAAAATGGCCGCCGCTACCACGCCTACAGGAACGGGCAATACCCCATGCCAAACGACGAGGAAGAGCAAGACCGTCTAGCATTCATGCACCATCTGTTCAAACTTCTCGTAGGAGGCGCCCTATACCGCGCCCCAATAAATCAAGGCCAGACGCCACAGCGCATTCTCGACGTCGGCACCGGCACCGGCATCTGGGCTCTCGATATCGCAGAGGACTTCCCTGACGCGGAGATCGTCGGCACCGATCTGAGTCCCATCCAGCCCAATTGGGCGCCCCCGAACTGCACGTTTCTTGTCGACGACGCCGAGAGTGAGTGGGCGTTCAGTCCGAGTGAAGCGTTCGATTATATCCACGTCCGCAGTTTGGGCGGCGGTATCTCCGATTGGAAACAGTTCCTGAATCAGGCGTACAACCATGTTAAGCCTGGTGGCTGGGTTGAGATCCAGGAATATGAGACCTGGTTGCGCTCTGATGATGGCACTGCTCAGCAGGCGTCGATGCTCATGGATTGGCAGTATAAGATCGATGAGGCGAGTAGGCTGTTTGGACGGCATATGAATGTTGCGTCTCATCTTGCTCAATGGATGGAGGATGCTAATTTTATCAATGTTCAAGATGATGTTTACAAGGTATGTGAGAGCTTGTGTTCCTCAAGTTTGGATGCCTTGCCTTTCAGAAAGAATGTAGCTGACAGAATCAAGGCCCCTGTGGGCTCATGGCCCAAAAACAGCCGGTTGAAGGAAATTGGAAGAGTGGGCAAAGTCACACTATACGAGGCCGTCGAACCCTATACACTGGCCTTGTTCACCCGAGTGCTAGGCTACTCGCCCGAAGATGCCCGGGAGTACGTGGACAAAGTGCGCGCAGAGCTTCTTGACGGCTCCCATCATATCTATGTGCTATACCACTATGTATATGCACAGCGGCCGCTGGAAGATGAAACTAATGAACAAGGTATGAATATGGATATATGACAGCAATGAGCGACACGCATGTAAAAGGATTATCTTTGTCTATAAATTTTCTTCAATACCCTCAGTGTTAGCCAGAACGATTTGAGTACATAGGAACGTGAACATAGCTCATGAGCTAATAATAAAAAACATTGCATCTAATACATTAAGATGAACCCGACTATCCCTGAAGGGAGTAACCCACACCCTCCCCAGTACCCATGGCCACCAAGTTGGCCCTCATCTTCTCCGCTCGCTCCCCAACCCCGAACGCAGCATCATCGCGATGAACCCAAGCCCCAACACCATGCTGCAGAACCGCCGTAGCCCGCACCTTCATATCTGCCTCATTCCCAGACTCCCCCTTCAACCCAATACTGCCATGCAGCGTCAGTCTCGTCTCCTCCCCACCCTCAGCCTTACCGCGATACACTCCGCGATGCAAAATATTACTATCATAGAACACCGCATCACCGGGCTGCAGCTCCACAACTAACTGATTCGGCATCTCGGGCTCATAAGGATCTGCAGTCCTCTCCGTCTCAGTCCTCACCCGCCGATGCGACCCAGGAACAACAATAAGCGATGCATCAGGACAAAGCGCCAAATTATATTGCGCATGACTCTGCTTCCCCTGTGGACTCTTCGACTCCAACAACTTCAGCTCCTCCTCCGGCCCCACCGTCTCAGGGATATCATCACGATGCCAGCGCAGCTTGAAATCCTTCGTCTCCGGCGCAACCAGTAGATTAAATAGCTCCATGACCAGGGGCTCTTCGCCGCCCTCGGTGCGCTTTACGCCGAGAAGCTCCTCTGCGACGGCAAGCACTTTCTCGGAGAAGTAGAAGCGCGCAAATTCGGAGCGGCCCGGCATTTCGGGGTGGAGGAGGTGCTGGACGCCCCAGATACCGCCCTCCGACGCGGGAGGCGGCGTTGTCGGCCAGGGGGGGAATTGCTTCGGTACGGTACGGAAGTGTGGCCAGTGGCCTGCCCGGGTCAGGGTGGTGGCTTTTGTGGATACGGCGCGGAACTGGGCGACTTCTTCGGCGGAGAGGAGGGAGCGGACGACGACGAAGCCGTCGCGTTGGAGGGCATCGAGGTGGGGGGTTGATTGGACGGTCATTTTCTTTTCTTTCCTTATTTAGGTATACTCGGGTAGATAATGTTATTGTGTTGATATGTACGGAGTAGAATATCGAAATTCAATTGGAGGTGACGTGGGGAAAGGGAGAAGAAAAAAAAAAGAGAAAATCCGGAAAAGCTGGAGAAGATTCAAATTTTTATATGTGAAGATAACTCAACAATGGATTTGTGTAGCATTTGAGGGCCATACAACTTCATTCTATTACCCAACAATGTCGTATACGGAATGCTACGTCGGGAACAAGCCCCATACTACCCAGAATCCATGATCATCGGGGCTCGTTTATATTTCTTGTTCATTCGGTGGTGACTCGGATCGGATTACCCCGCGGCTGCCCCAACTGATAGAGAATAAAGCGGGGTTTTTTTGCGTGTTCGCCAAGTTCCACTCAAAAGTTACACCGCGGCCCTGGATGGTTACATACGCGCGTGGCATGATCATGGATGGACCTACCTATTGCTTTCTAGTGAGAATGGAAGGGGATCCCGATTATCTTGGTTAATATCTAAGGGAGTCTGTCAGGGTTCCCATTGCTCCGGGATGATTGCATTCTTAAGCTCCGAGGCTTGTTCCAGGGTCTAATCCTGATTGGGTATGGTGTTTTGTAACCCTGGGAAAAAGCAGCGAGTAAGAATGGGTGAACAAAATAGTATTAATATACATTGAAGAAGAAACTAACAGTATTCGAGGTCCTCTGACCAACCCTTGTAGATGTCAAGGAAAAGCCTCGGTCAATCCTTTTTCTCTCTTATCCGGCCTTATCTAGGTCAAATTGCAGTCGGACTTTTCTTCACAATGTCCACTGATCTGAGAAATCCACAATCTCCAGGAGCACGTCCGCCATTCAGCGAACACCTCTATTTAGCCCCATCACTCAAAATCACTTAGCTTCCATGGCTTTATGCGCCCAGGGGTATTATCAAAAATGTAATCTCTAGGCGCCGCTACATCTATAACCTCCAGCGACAACCTCGTATTACCAGCCGTTTCTATTTTGGACCGCCTGAAAGTTTCATCTCCAGCGTTTATATTTTTGTAAAACCCCAATGTGCGAACCAACTCCGTCCTGGAGAACTCTGTAGAGTAATCTTTGACTCTCACATCAGACGACCTAACCACTGCAACGTCGCCATGAATTTCCTTGTCGAAGCACTGACTCATAAGTCGGTTCCTCGGTGTTTCTGTCTTCTCATGCTGCTGGTAAACATGATAATGCCAATGATTAACGGGTCTGTGTGAGTAGAATCTGCCGGGTTCGAGAATGCCGGTCCATCTGGTTATTCTCAATACCTCTTCCAGTTCCGCGAACCATTCACCGTATGAGGCCAGGGGCATCGGTTCGATATAGTCCGCATCGGTGGGATTCTCTTTCGCCGGGTCAATGGGAGTGGCGCGGACGATGAAACAGTTGTATTTCTTTGCCCCCATGCACGCCTCTTTGTGTATGTCCCAATGGGCTCTCTGACATGCTGGGGAGCAGTATTCTGCTAGTTGGCAACCGGTGCAGCGGCGCGTGCCTGGGTTTCGGCAGCTCGTAGAGGAGCAGTTCGACATGTCATTTTGGTTCGCCATTATTGCGGTGTACCTGTTGATATAGTAGAGTAGCTTCTACTTGGCTCAAAGGTGCAACGAATGAATTTTGGGATCGCCGCGCCTCCCTTTCTAAGACACTTTTTTAGGCGGTAAAGAGCTAACGACGCGAAGCTGGACATGGTACGTGCGGTCCTATTATAGCAGTCACTCCACAACAGTTCTTACAAAGTCCATATACCGCCTAACTAGTATTAAACTGTATCGCTATCTCTTAGAATATAAGATATTGTATATGTTCCTTTATATGAATTATAAAATAAAGTACATTTTCTAAGAAAATCTAATTAGAGATACTTGATGGAAAAATTTAAGTGTAATATCTGTGTACTGTATAACTATATTATATTAATAGAGTTCCTACTGGCTCTCCGCCTTTTTAACTAAACTAGGTTTAAGGCTTACAGTGCCTAGACTTCAGGGATCACAGCATCTAGATTCAAGGGTCACGGTACCTAAATTTAAGGGGGACCCGGTATTGAATTTACACAGTACAACCTATTATATATATATATAGAGCCAACCCTTTATAATTATAGAGAAATGTACATTACATATGAAGCATATAGTATTTATACTAATTTCTTAAGTATAAATACAGAAATATAAAATGTTCAGAATCGCTACTAGAATTCTGCAATTTCTGCTGGCAGAAATCGAGAAGGACCCGTTGTTGCAGAGTGGCCGCTATAGTTTATCTGCTGTAGGCATGGCAAGCGTAAGGCTGTATTTATGAGGGCTGCATCTTATAACAGTAACTAGACTGAGATGGAAGATCCTATAGCACTACCCTAACCCAGAATTTTTAAAACTAATCCAGTATGATCATGTTCCTTTTTTTCTTGTTCCTTTTCTTGCTAGACCATTCATAGTAAATGATATTCACAAGCTCCACTAAAGTGAATATTTAGTAAAGATCCTCAGCTCTGTCACTACATAAGAGAACTGTCCTTGGTAAACCTGGGGTGAGAAAAAAATCTCTATGCGATAAGAATGATGTAGTTTTATTTTTGTTCAAACAACTAGGACAGAGCCAGGGTCGCCTTTGTTTCTCTTCCCCTCTCCTCTCTTTCTCCTTCACCTATCTCTCAGCCTCTCTGTTCACAAACACCTGGACCTTATTGCAGCCCAAAAATGGAGACAGAGCTTTTTGATGTGAGCTGGATTGGAAATGTCATTTCCTTTACCAACCCTAACACTCGTTGGCGCCTGACTGAAAAGTTGCGCGATAAGAACGACCAGTTCAGTGCAGGCGAAATAAATGACTTCCCAGATGCTATCAGTGGCGCCTACGGAACCTTCAAATGTGAAAATGTAGCTTGTCAAACTGAATTAGCTATCATGAGGATTTCCATGCAGTATGATCATACCCTCCACCATTCTACTTGGCCTTTTGCTCACAATTTTAAGAGTTCCATATGCAGGCGCGAACCCCAATAGTTTAGCTCGTCAGCCATCTCATAACCTTCCCTCCTATGGACAGATTATGTTAGATGCTTACGGTACCTTACGGACAAGGGAATACGAATCAGCCGCACGTCTTTTACATATGAAAAGAGAATTGCAAGACCACACAGCTATGCTTCCAGGTGGCTCCATTCTCTATCTCCTTATCGAAAAAGTACCGGGAAAGCAGTTAGACTCTGCTGGGTTCTGGGATCTAGGGCACCAGGAGCGTGATAAAATCCGACAGACCTTCAAAGCTGCATGGGGGCAAGTGATCATTTTCCTTACATGAAGGAAATCTACTAATTCGTTCAAGGGAATGTGTTGCCAAGGGGTTTCGACCCTATGGAGATGTGTCGAGTTTATGTTGGGATAATTCCTCAGGCGAGATGTCGGTTTCGGTTCTTTATTTTATCGGTTCAACAGTTGCAAGACTGAGTACTCAAGTACCATTTACAATTTTATGACAGCCGTTCCAACCGAGCCTATTACCGAATGGTCGCATGTTGAATGGATTGCTTGGGGTTTAGCAAAGGCGCCTGCTGGGTATCGCTGGTGGGCGGAACCCAAAAAGGACCCCGATATGAGAAGATGGACTCTTTGACTTGGAGGCTTGGTAGACCTACTGGTAGACGAGTGTTCAGCTGTAATGGCTGAGGGACTAACTCTTATATTATCTATAGTTAACTACCAACTGCTCCAAATTACTAGTAAGAAGTGAAAATTAAGTTAAGTAGGGATATTTTAGATCCTGTTATCCGAAGCCTAAAGTATATAATATAATGTGACGATATTTATTCATGAGACAAATAGTATAATTGTAGATGTATGAGTATGGCATAGCAATATTCTTACTGTAAGACAGGATACCTGTAACATTAAGAATTTTCATATAGCTACTTTGAGGATCTTTTCTGTTTCTTTTTAGAATGCAATGTAATAAAATTGTATACATCTATTCTCAAGTAAGGCTCAGCTGGCGGGAATAGAGAGTATAAGAATGGTCACTATTAAAACAGTAAAAGATCTTCTAATTCATAAGGCGTTATAATCTCTGAAACACAATCCATTACTAGTAGGGCCCCTAAGCGCGATCCTACTGATGGGGAGACTGTAGTAGCTCCAACATGATTATAACATTAGTCAACAAAGAGGGGTTGGCGCAATGAGGAAGGGCAAACTCCTTACCAGAACCATACGGGCAGCATGGAAGCAAAGAGAAAGGGAAATAACTAACAGGAATCGAGTCAAAGTTGAAGCAACGGAGTAGAACATGCCTTTTTGAGGGCTGAGGTCAGGCACACGGAAGTACATACCCGAGGATCGCAGGTCACCGTGCGCCATGTCAAAGCACATCGACCCCATGCATATCATTGCTACAATTTGATGATTATGAGTCAACTCCAATCGACCGGGTTCCACTTTCCATCTTCCGAGGGCGAAGATCCACGAGCAGTGACCAATATGGGATGTTGGAGATCGTGGACTAAGAAACGTTGATGGTCGGTTATTTCGATAAATACGCTAATGTGTGGTTTTGCTGCCATGGTATCAACTGAACTCTGTAACAGTGACCGTATTCAACTGTTTATTTACGAACAACCTCCGTATGGTATAATGGATACAGTTCGGCCTCAATTACCCCTCCCCAAGGGCCCAAGGCTACTAAGGGTGGTGCCACTCGATTAGCCCCATATACCAAGGAGCTACCGAGAAGAGGCTGGAGTGGAGTGCTTTAGTGCCCATACTAATCCTTGGGAGAGGTTGTCAACTTGTCACTTACTTCGGAGTATTTTCGTTCATTTTTTTTTTTTTTTAAAAAAAAATACTCGTACCTGCTGTATTACGGACCAGAAAGAGTCCTTAGCGTACAGTACAGCTACTGCACGGATCGTCAGCCTCACAAAGCTCAGCCAGCCTCTAATTCCGTAGTGAACCCTTAATGGTTATCTGATGCTGGTGGCGGGGCTCTGAAATCATCAGGAAAGACATTCTTCTACTTCGGCGGTGTCGCTCTGCCGTGTTTTGTAGATCAGAACTAGTCAAAAAACCAAGAAATTTTCCTTGTTTAAAGCTGCAAATTATTTTCGTAGAGCTGGCCTTACCTTTTCTCGTAAAATTTTTTCAACGACATTTGGGGCGACAAAGACTTTCTTTCAGCTGTTTGTGTCTCCTGACGCCAAGCGCTTAAAGCTTATAATTTTCTCTCTTCCCAATTTACCCCTCCACGGATATTTTCCCCTAGACTTCATAACGTCAACTAAAGACCCGCAGCCATATTCACGATGGCGTCAGGGATGAATATGGGCTTTAATGCCCTCCTCATTTTATGTCTTGTGCTTGTCGTGCTTCCCTCTCAAGTCCATGCCTTTGGCGCTGGCAGTATGTGTGACCTTGGCTTTGTCGGCTTCCCCAAGATTGCACTCAGTTGCTGACACGATTAGATATCGCTTCGATCTCCACCGTCGAGGGCAAGAACTGGCGCCATGGCGATATTGAAGATATGCTCAAGACTGTCGCCTTTATCAAAGGCCATAAGTGGACTTCCACCATGATGAAGCGCGTCTACTTTGGCAACTGGTTACGTGATTAGTGGGGTCTCATCTCTTACGAAGCTATCTGCTGCACGCGCTGACCCTCTATAGCTCCCAGGCGATGGACGTCGGCACCCTCAAGAGTGTCCAAGCTGACACTATCCGAATCCTTGTCTGGATCCTGTCTTTCATGACTTTCGGTTATGCGACGGCGGAGTTTGAGGTCACATCTGACAGGCTCGGAACTTATCGTCCCGAAGAGCATATTGAGTTCGTCTAATCTCTCTATTCATATGAAGTTGCATATGGCTAATGTTTCTTTACAAGCAACCCAAAGGATTATGCCGACAACCAAGACGCACGTCAGTACGATTCCCGGCTGCGTGGCCCGGTGCGTCAAGTTGAGCTCGATATCGATCCCGATACCGGTATGAAGAACTATATCGCCAACGAACGAGGAGACTGGTCCACGAGTTCTGGTTATGTCAAATATAGTTTGGCTCGCAGTATCCATTATGGAAGACTGTATACCAAGAATAGAAACGAAGAGGACCTCTGCGAAGCTTTGCGGTGCCTCGGCCAAGGACTCCATACTCTTGAGGACTTTGCAGCACACACGAACTACTGCGAACTCGCGCTTCGTGAGATGGGCTTCCGTAATGTATTCCCGCACACCGGCACGCGGACTGAGCTGAACGTTCGGGGTCACCGTGTTTACCCTCTCATAACAGGCACATTCGGTATGGTTGATTTCTTCCATTCCATGCTTGGAGAAGCGACCGATCATTTCACCCAGTCGGAGGTTAATGAAATGGATATTGCGCTGGGAGATGCACAGACAAATACATCTTCCGGCTCTGCTAGCGCGTTGACAGCACTGCTCGGCAAAGTCCCTGGCACGAGGGATCTTGTTAACGAAGCTGAGGAGCTCAGGCGCCGCTCGGACGAGCAAGAATCATTAAACAAGCGTGGCGGTCATAGTTCAGGCTATTCAGCCCGCGGATCTGCTCGATCCTTTGACGACTTCGACTCAGGCAGCAGCCGAGGCTTTGGAGGTGAACAAAGCAGGGCTGCCAGAGCTGATGACTCCAATCAGAGTTCCTCGGGTGGCTTGCCCGGGCTGCCTGATTTCGATGCAAACAAGACCATTGATCAGATATACCCTATTCTGCAGTTCAGAGATAATGTCGTGCGGAATCTCTCATCCATCATTGAAAAAATCCCTGGTCTAGAAACCCTGGTCGAGACGATCACTGAAACCTTAACCGTTTTTGTCATGTCTCTTTTGGCGCCCTTCGTTCGTCCTATCATCAATGCTGCCTCCAAGCAGCTTCAGGCTGGCTCCTCTAGCGTCATTGATGCTTCTGGTCAACACCAGTATGAGCCATGGACTGACCCTCACTGCACCGACCCTACCCACTCCTTGCTGTCTAAGGATCACTTCTCCAATATCCTCAATGAGCCAGCTGGTCAAGTCGCTTCTGCCATTCTCAAATATGTCGCACCTCGCGTCCTGTACGCTTGGGAGAACACCAACATCTCCGAGCGACAGGTTTCGGAAGATTGCCTCAAAGTATTCCATCATCCCGCTCTAAGAGATATGCGCAATGAAGCACATCGGACTATGTACGAAGCAGTCGAATCTTGGGTGCAGTCTAGGTCGGATCGTGGCTCCAAGCTTAACGATATTCTCAGTGCCGAGGGTGTGAAGGCGGGAAAGAATCAAACAGGGGAGGGCGGCCACTCCCATGGGCACGGCCATAGCCACAGTCATGCACCTCAGCAGTCCCATAATCAGTCAGGACAGTCACAATACCGTCCACCCCAACAGCAACAGCAACAAAGTTCGGCTAACCCTCTCGACGAACTTTCCAGCCTTCCCATTCCAGGTATCTCTAAGCTTAGCAGCGCTTTCTCTAACTTTGGGCTGGGTGGTTCCTCGAGGAGTGATGAGACTTCGCAGCAGACTACATCTCCACCTGAGCCTCAGCATCATCATCATCAACAACAACAACAACAACAACAGTATGATCAGTCTTATCATGAGCTATCTCATCAACGCCAAGACTATGAATCTCGCCACCAAGGCTACCAGTCACGTCACTCCGAGGACGATCACAGCAGCTATCAGAGTCGCCATCACAGTCATGGGGGTGGGCACAGTGCGGACTACTATAACGAATCATCGTCTAGCCACGGATACGGTGATTACTCCGAGTCTCAGGGACACAGCCAACGTCGCCACCACAACAGTCATCAGAATCATAGCTATGATCAAGGTTACGATTCTGGATATAACCAAGGCTCAGGGCAAGGATATGAATCTGGATATAACCAAGGTTCCAGGCGAGGCTCCGGACAAGGCTACGGACAAGGATATGAATCTGGATATAACCAAGGTTCCAGGCAAGATTCCAGGCGAGGCTCCGGACAAGGTTACGGACAAGGATATGAATCTGGATATAACCAAG